AAAATATATATATATATATATATATATATATATATATATATATATACACACTTTAGGAAATGAAAAACTTTTATAGATATTGTAATACTAAATTTATTCCAATATCACAGGATTAATACAAGTTTGGACTCTACAATAAGAAGAGATGCTCAAAATGGTGACCTTTAGTTTTGAGGTATTTATTAGTGTAGCAAACTATTGCTTGGGCAATGTTGGCCAAAGTGTCTAGTGGGATTATTGCACATGCATTTCAATTTTTTGTCTAAGGGCAACCAATGAGGTTACTTTTCTGTGATGCACAACATCCTTTAGGACTTGTTGATGCTGCAACCATGACTTTAATGCCATATGTCTAGAAAATATTGTACTACATTAAACAGTGTTATTGCAATTTGATAACCATATGAAGGACAAGTTTTTTCCTTTACTGAAGTGTGTGTATATTTTTTTAGTGGACTCTCTATATATAAAGTAATTAGTAGATTTTTTTAATATAACAATATTTTGTAATATCATAAGCCTTTTTCTTTTACATCATTTGCATTTCTCTATTTTTCACTTCCTTCATTTCTTTGTCATTTTTCATTTTTTCTTTCATTCCTTTTCCTCTCTTTCTTTCATTCCTTTTCCTCTTTCTCTTTCATTCCTTTTCCTCTCTTTCTTTCATTCCTTTTCCTCTTTTTCTTTCATTCCTTTTCCTCTCTTTCTTTCATTCCTTTTCCTCTCTTTCTTTCATTTCTATTTTTTTCTTTACAATTTCAGTTCTTCACTTTTTATTGTTTCATTCTTTTTCATTTTTTATCTTTCTTTCATATTCTTTCGTTTTTTTAGCATTCGTTCATTTTATATTTTCTTTCACTTTCTCCCCGTTTTAATTCCTTCCTTCTTTTTTCTTTTAATTCATCGCTAAGGCCCACCATCCCATGCACATTTTGGGGAATCTTCATATTACATTGGTGAGACCTAAGCCTCTTAAACTGTAACCATCTACATCCATCCATGTGGATTTTGGGCCTTGTACCGGGTGAACATCATTCTTTTTTTTTTCTTTAATTCCATCCTTCTTTTATCTTTTGATTCATGGTCAAGACCTGCCATCCCACACACATTGTGACAAACTACCCTCATTCCCTTCATGGGTGAGATAAGTCCCATTCAAATATCTTCTTCCCATGAACTGCTTCTTTGTGGAACTGACTCCCAAGAGGATGCTTCCCTGATTGCTACAATCCTTATTCAAATCTAGGGTTAAACATTATTTTCCTCACATATCCCTATAAACTCTGCCTTTTAATCTGTAACCCTCTACATTGAGTGGCTCTTGGGCCTTGTACAGGGTGAACATCATTGTAAAAAAAATAAAATAATTTCTTCTTTTTTCTTTTAATCCATTCTTTTTTATGTTTACTTTTTCAATTTTCGTCCCATTTATTTTCTTTTTCTCTTACTTTCTCGCCTTTTTCATTTCCTCACATTTGTCATGAATACTAAAGCAACTGCACTTACTACTTATGTCATTAATGGTATACATATTTTATGACTTCAGTCTAATTAGTTAAACATCTCTTTCAAGTTTGTCTTGTCTTCTGCAGTGCAAATATCTTCCACACTTCTGCACATATTGTTACCATTATGTGTAAATGATGAAAAGCAGGCAACATTGAAAACTGCCGTTACAAATAACTTTTTTTTAAAGATGGAGAAAAGTGATATTTTAGTCTTAGTGAAAAAAAAAATCTATTTTGAGATAAAAAGATATTCTGTGAAATTTCTACAGCTTCAGCTGATAAAAGTAACTTTTTGAAATAATTCTTGACATACACTATATTAAAACCAGTCTCTTTTCAACATATATTTTTGACATGCAATTTTTATCTATCCTACATATCCTCATAATACACAACTCTTACTTCTTCCATTTATGCCTTTACAGCAACCTCATTAGGTAACCCTCTACCTTGAGTGGCTCTTAGGTTTACATTGGGTTAACTTTAGTAGAGAAAAAAATGTCTTTTAAGTGTTAAATTTTCTAGGAACTTCATGCTCATTATGTGTCAAAGAAATTTCAAATTTCTCTTTCTGATTGTAAGTATAAGTGTCTATTTAGTTCCTATTTTCCTTAGAAGTTAACTTATATTTTTAATCATTTCACCCCAAGCAAGGCAATAAATCCACTAAGATGCAAGGGGTTACTGAGTGTGAAAAAGTATGAGAAAAAGAAAAATGCTATTAAGGAGAGACAACAATGAAAGAACAGGAATTAAGAAGACAGTAGATAAAGATTTGACATTGCATTTAAATTTTTGAAGACAAAAGTTAATTAGAAAGCAAGAAGCCAGAAAAAAAATTCACAAACAAGAAGTATGAGGGAAGAAACTATTAGCATAAACTTACAGTTACATCTAGCCATTCCAATTATAAGATGATGAGACCTATCTACCAATCTAGTACTGAACTTAAAGTCTAGGTACCAAAGAAGAAATCTCACCAGAAAAATTACCCTGAAAATAATTATAAAAATGGCACAGGGAAGCAATATTATAATGGTGAGAAAGTAACTGAAACTAAGATCCCATTTTATCAAAAACCTCTAAATACACAGCAGAAGAACCAGACTATATGTGGCAGCAATATTCAAAGGCAAATGGTAGACTTATAAATGTGTAAGACAGATTCTGGCAAAAAAAAAAAAAAAGTTGTCTAGAATAAAACAGTGAACCAACTTTCCTAGCAGCAGACCTTGCAAATGATCCAATTTAATCTTTCCACTTCATGTCAGTAGAAAATGTTAGCCCAAGAAGGTGCAATGAATCACTTTCCTGGGGGTTAGCCATGTTGATGGAAGGCAAAAAAGATTCTCTGAGATGCCACAATTGCTTACTTTAATTTTTTTCTTCTATACTCAAGGAGTAGAAGTTTATCTCTTGTTTCCTGTTTAGGATTGGGCTTCTGGTTCTATTTCAACTCTATATTTGTAATAATCTCATATAAGCTTGGAAATTTATGCTATTATTGGGTTTCCGGTTTCTTCTTAAGTCTTTTTCTTTCTCTTTTTACTTACAATAATAGTAGCATTCTCACCTTACATGTAGTGAATTGATTTTTTTTTTTTTTTTTTAATCGGTATGCAAGGCAGTAAAGCCACTAAGACACAAGGGGTTACTGGGTGTGGGAGAATTAAAAAACAGAAACATTACTTATGAGTGGGAACAAAAAGAGTAATCAGGAGGACAGTAGATAGTAATTGACATTGCATTTAAATTTTTAAAGATGGCTGGAAAGCATGGAGCCAGAAGGGAGTTCTACAAGTGTGAGAAAAGAAACTCCTAATGTAGAACTTACAGTTACATCTAGCCAGCTCAACTGCAAATTGATGAGATTTCGACACTAATTTAATACTGTATTTAATTTCATTAAGCCGAGGTACCTTAGCAAAGAGCTCATCCAAAAAATTACTATGAAGTATTCATAGAAAAGACACAGAGAGGCAACCTTACAGTGGTGAGCAAGTGACTGAAGCCAAGCTGCTAGATCAGAACCAATAATATTTCTGATTAACCTCTGGATCTTATCAAGGATCTCAGTGTAAATAGCAGGACCACCAGTAATATTCAAAGTATGGGCGAATTATAGATATGTATGATAGATTCTGGTGAGAAAAACTGTCTCACCTAATATAGTGAACCAACTTTCTTTGCAGCTGACCTAGCAATGGATTCAATATAGTCTTTCTATGTCAGCTGAGAATATTTGCCCCAAAAAGGCACAATGAGTTACTCTCCTAGAGGTTAGCATCAGCCATGCTGATGGAAGGAAGAGAGGAAGGAAGTTTAGTTTTGGAGGTATTAAAATTAACAAAAAATTAGAAGTTTCCTCTTAGCCTCTATTTTCCTTAGAACTTCCACATTGCTTGCGTGTTCTATCTATTGTATTGTCAGCATTTACATTTTTAAAGATGGCTGGAAAGCATGGAGCCAGAAGATGTGTTTTGAAGAATCAAAACACATCTTCGTCTGTGGAGGTGGTTTTGAGTTGACTACTACATAGGAGATTCAATATTGCATATCAATTCAGTATTATTTTCTTTGTTGTTAATGAAATTTCTTTAACTTTGATTAGCTTACAAGATACCAAAACACTGCATAATATGTTTTGGTTATAAAAGTGTGTACCTTATATGTCAGCAAATACAATAAATATAATACACTAAATGATTGTTTTCTAAAATGTACCCAAAGTATGGTGGCCCATGCATGCCACAATTGCTTAGTTTAATTTTTTCTTCTATTTCATTTTTATTCAAAATTGAAAACTGAAATGAATTAAATATTTGAATTATTCTTTTACTATTATTTTACTTTTATTTCTCTATATATTGAGCTTCTTTTTAAGTTTTTTTAAAATCCATTTTTCCATATTTAGAATGCAGAAATATACTAATTAGTCTGAATTTGCATTGGCAAATTCTCATTTATATGCGCATGATCAAGGCAGCATATTGCAGGATGTAAATTTAGTCAACATGAATTAATTGTGCAAAATCTGCTCAAAATACAAGCACTTGATTTTATAGAGGACAGTTTTGCAGAAGAGGAAAGAAGGAAGGAAAGCAATAAGAAGAGAAAAAAGGAAAGATAGGAAAAGAAACAAGGGATTAAAAAATAAGAGAGGGAAATAAAAAAAAGGAAGGTGCAAGAATAAAAGATGAAAAAAATGGGAAAAGAAAGAAAGGGGGTGATATATTAAAGAGAGACAAGAAGAGAAGAATAAAAGAAAAACATAAGGGAATAAAAATAGATAAAAAAAAATGAGAGCAAAGAGAGAAGGAGAAAGGAATGTAAGCCAAAGAAAAGAGAGGGAAGGGAAGAGAAAGGGAATGAGAGAGGAGAAAGGGAAAGGAACAAAAGAGAGAAGGCAAAAAGAAAGAGAAGAAGAAACAAAAGACAGGGAAAAGAAGGGAAAAGAAACAAGTAGAGAGTAGAGAAATGAACAAAAGAGAGTTAAAAGAAAGAAGAAGAAGGAACAAAAGAGTAGAAAGAAGGGGGGAAAAGAGGAGAGAGAAGGGGAAGAAATGAGGGTGTAAAGAAATGGAATAGGGGAAAGGAACAAAAAAGGAAAAGAAAGAAGGTGGAAAGGAAGAGCAGAAAAGGGAGAAAGGAATGAGAGAGTGAAGTGGAGGAAGAAAAACATGAAGTAGAAATGGAATGAGAAAGAAACAGAGAGGAGAAAGAGACATGTGAGAGAAGAAAGAAGGGGGGAAAAAAGACAAAATGGGGAAAGAAACAAGAAAAGGAAAGAAAGACAGGAGGAGGAGGAAGAAGTGAGAGAGAAGAAAGAAGGAACAGAAGAAGAGAGGATGAACAAAAGTGAGAACAAGAAAAGAAATGAGGGAAGAAAGAAGACAGAAGAAAGAAAAGAATGAGAGGAAAAGGAAGGAAAGAAAAGAAAAAAAAAGGAAGGAAAGAAGAGAAAAGAAAATGAAGGAAGGAATGAAAGTAGAGGGAAAGGAAGAAAGAGAGTGAATGACAAACGAAAAATGGAAATAAAATTTTAACTGGTGTCATGAATAATTCAAAGAATAAAAATAATAATATGTACTCAAATGGTAAATGAACTAATGGAATGATTATTGTTATTAAACCATAAACTTGAACCCCTTCCTTCTTCTTCTCCATCTTTATCTGCTCCAAGAAAGAAAAAGTAGCAACTTATACCTAATATTAATCAGTCTTCCAAAGAGAACATGGGTAGTAAGGTTTCCTTTTTATCAGGTACTTCTGAGAGAGACTCTTTATTACTGGGGTAAAAGGTTTGGAAGAACAATAAAATTGGTGAGGGAATGATAGGGAAAAAGAAACTTAATAAGCTAAAGTATATGACAAATTTCTTTTTTTTTTCTGTCATTCTCTTTTCAATATTTCATATTAATGAAACCAAGAAGGAAACACACCAAATAAATACGATTACAAAAATAAATATTTTAATATTTATGAAAATTATTAAAATCATCAGCAATTTTATTTTCCAGGCAAATGGATCGGGCGAGGAAGGCAAGAATTGTTTGTTTCTCATCATTTGAAACATCTGCAAAGGAATGATAATTTTTGCAAAGAATCTGCTTAGTTAGACAACAAGGTTGCAGTGACACAAACTGCAGCAGCAATTGCAGTGGTAGCTTATTATAAAGTGAAAATATTGCTGTTTTTCTTATTAACACTTTGACTGCTGTAGATGTGCTTATACGTCTTTACAAAACTTCCATCTCCTGCTGTTGACACATATATACATTTCAAAGACAGCTCTACAAAACTTCCTTTGCCTGCTGTCAATATATATATATATATATATATATATATATATATATATATATATACCTGTTGTCAATATATATATATATATATACTTTGCCTGTCAATCATATATATATATATATATATATATATATATATATATATATATATATATATATACTTTGTTGCTGTCAATATATATATATATATATATATATATATAAGAGATAGATTTGAACAGTTATTTTTTCATGTCATGATAAACCAGAACGTAGACCATCTGTCATTGACGACTGCAGAAAAATATGACAGTGACAAATGTAATAAAATTCATTTTTATTATAATCTCTTATAATAAATATATAATAATAATATATTGGTCTGCTTTGTACTGAGCACTTTTTAAAAAATAAATGCTACAAACAGTGAAATTTTACTCCACCTGTTCTTTTCGAAAATATTATATATAATATATATATATATATATATATATATATATATATATATATCCAAGTATAAGTTTGGTGTAGACAGAATAAAATTCCAATAATCAAAAACGTTATTCTTAAAAGAGTGCTCAATACAGAATAGAGCAAATATTATTTATTCAATAAAATCCAATTGATTAAATAAAGTTATATATATATATATATATATATATATATATATATATATATATATATGAGGTAACAGTGTATAAATTTTTATATATCGCAAATAATTATATACATAGCTGGGGGTGAGGTTGAAAAATTCTCAGCTTAGCCAAGAAGTGATTCCAACAAAAACTCTGATCTATGGTCATTTAATCACATTTTTGGAAGTCTGGTGAGCCAAGAACTTTTGAACTGTTCCTTGATTAGTGACACAACCAATAAGAAGATTTTATTTAGAAATATATTGTAAATTTTTTTATATTTATGAAATGTAAATATGTTATTGAATTGTTACTATTATAGAATATTATTTATATTTTAAAGAAATACTGACTTTTTAAATAGAAATGTATTGGATTTTGTTTAAAAAGAAATTTTAAAATGTTATTTTAATATAATATTGCCCTGTGTACAATCCTCCCCATTCTTATGAACAAGATAGAGGTTTATCCTGTGTTCTCTTCTTAGAATTGGGTTTCCAGCTCCTTCCAATGTCTCTTCCTTCCCTTTCACTCTAAGTAACCCCTTGCATCTTAGTGGTATTATCACTTTCATTGGTGATGAACTGATTAAGAAAAGTTTGAAATAGAAAAGAATGTATTCCAAAATGTGTTTGGGATACTGATATCATTCATTTTGTTGTTTTTCTTGTTACCACAATGTTTCTGCTGCTGATTTACTTTTTGTGGAGAGCCATGACCACAGATTCTAAAATGGCATGACTTATGAAAGAAAGAAAACATGTGTCAACCAATATTGTAAAAGAGAAACCTGGTGGCAAAACAAAAAACATTGTAAACATGGCCAAAGAGAAAGAAATGAAAACATCCAAGTGGTTGAACAGATAAACAGATTGGAATTCCCAGACATAATTATCGAGATATTCTAGGCCTACCATATGTTATAGGAATAGCTGAACAGAACCAGATGATTTTGCTTGTGTTACAACTTCAACATAGGTTTCAATTGCACAAATACACAGTGCAAAATCTGTTACAAGAGTTGGTCTCTTATACCCAAAGTAGAAGACCAAAGATCATATGTATAAAATCTCATGCAAATTTAGAATATACTTAAAATGAATTTGCTGTCACTTAAAAATCATATTGCAATCATAGGAAAGCTATATCCAAGAGGGAAATAAAAATTGTCATATGGCAATGAATAATTTTATAACAGAATGACTACTGTCCTAAGCAAACACACACAACTGTATCAAGAAATCAAAAGAAAATGGTTGAACACAACAATAAAAACATCTTCATATGTGACAGTACTTGACATAATTTTCAGTATGAATACAATAATGCTTTCTAAAGTATGAATACAAAAGTGTTTTCTAAATTTTTCCAGTTGCTAAGGACATTTTGTTTTGTTGTTAATAGTTACTTTGTTTAAAATAAATTCATTTCGTTTTTGCCTTGAAAAAGTCCACATTGGATGAAGTGCATCAGCTAATAATAATTTTCCTATGGCCTTTTACCTTTATAAATAATTTTATATAGATGCAAGCATTTACACTACTATTTCTGGGATAATGTCCATATAATACATAAGATATATAACTGGAAATTAATGGACATGTGACAAAAGGATTAGAATGTTCACTTTCTGACCTTGAGACTTGGGTTTGAATCTCACCATGGTCAATTTATCAGGAAGGTGACTTCTTGATATTATCAAACTGGAGGAAGCATGCAGCCCCTTTGGAAATACCCAAAAACCATACCACAGGTTGACCCAAGCCTTTTGAATGAAATTGGGCAGACAGAACTCTTGGTGAGCTGTTGATGGTCATGCTAGCATGAAATTACAAGACATCGTTACCAAGGGTTTGAGCATGCTGGCCTTGTTCAGACTGTTAATAGTGCTAGATAAAACTCTCTCTCTCTCTCTCTCCCAGAAAGTGTATCTAATGTCTGCTCAGCATAGTTGCACTATAAACCACAGGTGGGCTCTGTGGGTGTTGAACAAACACAAATGTACCTGAGCAGGCGTCTGCAACAGGGTTTAGTTAGCCGCACTAGTAAACGGAATCCTGGAATTGGAATGAAAGCAGTGATGGTAGAAACCTTGAATCCATCATAAAAATTCAGGATGTGGAATGGGTAAACTTTAAACACTTCATGTACATTAGCATACAGATCAGCTATAAGCTATGAATCCACCACTTCTCTCAGCTATGGGCAAAATAGTAAGAACTGTATCAGAAAACCTTTGTATCTCAAAAAAAAATCATATAATCCAAAAACATGTTCCAGCTTTAAATAACCTAAATGCAAAAGGTTGATAAACCTTAAAAAAAGAAACAAATCAATAATTTATTGATAATTAAGAAAAGGGAATGTGTAGGGAGTTCTGATCACTTAGATCCTGAAAGAACATGGCATTAAAAAGAAAAATTCAATAGTCTCAGGCTAGTTTAAACCTGGTGCAGCAGAAATCTGAATTTATTTATTGATCAAGAAAAAGATTCCAGAAAAAAAATTTTATATAAAATATGGAATTGTCAGCATCATACCAGATACTGCAGAGATTAGCATAATAAGTTTTCTTGAGCCATTAATTCTTTCTATTTTATAAAACTGATGTACATTCTGTGTCAGATTTACGCATATGCTAAAGCTTAAGGCTTTGTAATCTGAAGGAGCCTCAGAATTATCCTTCCATAAGGGCTTCTGGCAGAATATTTTAACAAGAGGCCTCCATTTTTGTATAGCTTAGGGTCTCAGGCTAAATCTGGCACTGTGAACACTATTCAAAAAAAAAAAGAGACCATTTTTTTCTATAAAAATTGTACAACTGGGAAAAACTATAGAATGGATTGATTGTTTGATTGCTTCTTTTTTATGGCTTATCAACCATTTTGGGGATATATAAAGCCAAAATATATTTTTGGATTCTAAGAAATTTTTGGAAATAATGATTTTCTGATACAAGTCTTACTGTTTAACCCATAGCTGGAGGAGAAGAGGTGGATTTATGGTTTTTCCCAAGGGTATTTGCACATAATTAATGAACTCAAATTCGCATTCCAAGCCTTTATCAATTACACCACCCACACATCCAAGTTTACAGCCCCTGGTATTGCCAAACAGTCACCCATACTCACCAAATTCAACATTGCTTAACTTCAGTGATCAGACAAGAACTGGTGTTTCAATGTGATATGGCCATAAGCCCTGGATTAATTGAAACACATTGGTAAAAAGAAAGAAAAAAACACACACTGAGAGAAATGAATTTGGTAGTTTGAAAAACTCTTGGAATAATAATGAAACATTTCTTAATAACAGACTTCAACTCATAGGTGTTGGAAAATATTTCCTCTAACTTCAAAGATGAGCAAGTCAGTACTAAATATGTAAGTGAACAGTTACCTTTCGATTTTCAAACCATTAAATATTTATCAAAAAAAAAAAAATTTAAATTATCTCCAGGGATGTTTAAACCTTTTGGCTTCACAATTGAAAATGGTGAAAAAACTTGCATTAACAAAAATTCAAATATTAAAAAAAAAAAATCAATTTAGTCAATTGCTGTTAAAAAATGACCCTTTCTAGTTGCATCTTTGACAGACAAAAAAAGAAATCTGAATTTAGCAAAAAACAGTGGATGAATATTTAGTCTGTTGCTGCGTCATTTTTTTTTTTTTTTTTAAATTTTGTCATATATATGCATGAAAATCAGTGCATCCTTAAATATTCTGTGCATGTTCATTTTCTAAAA